GGGGGGGGGGGGGGGGGGGGGGGGGGGGGGGGGGGGTGTTAGCGGCGGTGGGAATAGTTCTTCTCGAGGGCGGGACTGGGTGCGACACGAGCTGTGCGCCAAGCTGGTGTCCAACCTGTTTTCAAGCAAGACGCTCAGGGAAAGGCTCAGCAAGAAACCGATCGCTGGCATTCTGGTCGGGCTCCTGTGCGGCCCACCGACCCGCTGGAACAACCGCACGAGCAATTCCGGGGGATCAAGCTCGGTGAGATCTTCTTTATTGTGTTTCACGCTGTACTTTATGCGCAATGTGTCAACAGGAGGAAAGTGTACGATGATGACAATTGATGCCTACCTTGTTGAGAATTTAGAGCGCTGGTTTGGATAGTGATCTGTGCAGCAGGGGAATCATTTGTGTAGGTACGGAAGGGGCTAGGTGTGGAAAAAATACTGCTAAACGGCAATCGATGGATCCGTCAACCGATTTTATAGGTGTTCCATTTTCCAACTCTCAGCCGTTCCGTGTCCGGTGCCGCAGAAATAATTTGTTGACATGTGCGCACCAGAAAACCTCGGAGTAGAGCGCAAATCGCTGGGTGTCCGTTCCAGTATGACATGAAACAGGAGGCAGTTAACCTCATCTAGGGGAGGAAGGCCTACGAGCCCCTCCAACGCTCCATAAACAAAAACCTTAACCATTACTTTTATGTTCTTACCCTCCAGCACACGCCACCTGCACTCCTGCCGCTACCAATGTCGTATCAAACTAATACAGAACATCACCACGCCAGGGTCAACCGCCCGGTCCAACACGTCCGGTGGGGACAACAACAACAACAACAACAACAACAACAACAACAACAACAACAACAGCAACAACAACAACACGACCACGTCGACGGGCGGGCGGACCATTGTCGCCTCGTCGGAACGAATAAACACCAGCAAGCACCACCCACCCCGGAGGGGCAGCAAGTGCGAGGGAGAGCCACCTCCTCCGAACCCACCCCTTCCAGAGGGCTGCGGGGAGCCGCGGCCACTGCTATACGGCGGCGGAGAAGAGGCGGCGGCGATCACCAGCAGGTGAGAGAAAGTTTTGAAATTGTAAACTGGACCATTGATGAGCGGACCCTTTTTCAACTTGAGTTGGTCCATCGCCGGTGAATTGGGCCCTCTTCAAGTTGAAGTAGAGGCCACCGATGGATCAACTGAGCTCTCCCCCAGATAGACCTTCAATTGATGAACCCAGCTCGTTGCAAATTGAACCGGAAAAGAAACTCTGGCCTAAACTTCGAACAAGTCAAGTAGGCAAAACAATGAGAAAGTCGGGGTTGACGGGGTGCTCCAGTCACGCTATCGCTCCCGTGGACAAATGTCACGCGATTTTTCAGCCCTGCTCTTCCTCCCTCGCCGACAACAGTCATTCCCGTCTCGCGTGCGACGACCCTCTTCCCGTCCCATCCCGCTGGCCCTCCCTGCAGATTCCTTTGCGAACTTTGTATTCTTTACTCGACCGAGGGGGGCTTCGACCTCCCGCAGCGGACGTTCGACGCACTGGTCAAGATCGCTCACTATTATAACTGCAATGCGTCCTCAACACCCGCCGCGGCGGCGTCAACACATTCGCATCCTTGGAGGATAGGAGAGGGCGGGGGCAGTGGGGGCGAAGTCGGGGGAGGGGTGGCGGCATCGGCATCGGTCGGGGAGAAACAACCGCGGGGAATGGACAGCAATACTTCCCCCAAGGCCTCAGGAAAAGACAGCAAGGAGAGTGCTGCCGTGATGTCGGAGAGGGCTTTGGCAAGCACTGACAATCTTGCTGACTCTCTGGCCATGTTCCCGCCCACCGGTACCGCCGACCACGAAGAAAATCAGCGATCGACATCATCGCCGGGGAGAGCTCATGGTTCCAGGCGTTCCTCGCTGGAGGCGACTGCAGCACCAGCGCCAAGTGAAGAAGCAGCAGGAGGAGGACGAGGAGGATACGCGAGTCCGCGTTTGTCAGAGGGTGGGGGCGGTGGCAGTGGTGGCGATACGACGCAGCAAACGAAGGCATCTCACAAAGCGTGGCAACAATCCGTCGGCGACGACTGGTACACGGAGGGAGCGGGGCGACCGCACAACCCGGCCTACCGGCATGGAAACAACAAGCAGGGCGGCGGGGGCGGCGGCAGCGAAGATGTCTGGTCGAGGACGGCGAGGGAGATCACCAGGGCGTGGGTGCGGGCGGTGGGATGGCTCTGTAGCCCGTCTCACTCGAATCTCTGGCCGCACATGATCGAAGTGGGGATCCTGGGCGCCATCAATACGTGAGATTCGGTTCAAATTAGAAGCCCAGCTTCCCGGGAAAAACAAACCAAGTCACGCTTGTGTTGCTCCGATACTTCCCCAGATTCTTCCCCCTGCTTGGAAGAAAGCGCACGCATTCGTACACACTTTTTTCATGACCTCCCTGCCTACTCTGCGGTGTTGGGTACCTTGATCTCGCTTTGCTGTTGCCTTTGTTTTTGTACGTCTAGCGGTCTGCCCATCTGCCGCCTCTTTGTCCTGTTTGTTCCGTTACTCCCATGCCCTGGTGCGTAGTGCCTGGTGCTGGTACGTTGCCCTTCGATTTTTTCTTTGGGCGGGTGTGGGAAGCGTCCTCCTTTATTTTTGTTTTTGTTTGTTTTTTATCGGTTGCCGAGGGCTCTTTTCACGAACGGTCGGTGCGATACCTGTGCTTTTCTTTCTATCATTCTGTTTTATTTTTCCTTGTGGTTTGTACCCTACATATATTATTTTTTCCCGCGGCGTCGTATGTGCCGGATTTTGAGAACACGGGCTCCTCATTTTTTGTGGACTATAGAGCTAATTTGAGAAACAACAACAACAACAACAACAACAACACTCAGAACCCGTTCAAACGATACAACAGTCACCCAGTCTACTCGTCTCCCCTCCTGAACTACCAACTGTAGATTCCCGTCCTGTCTCCTTTGTGTATATCCGTTGATCTTGCTTCTACTATTCCCCTCCCCGCCCCACGTGGACCCTCCTTTTAGCCTCACCCCACCGATACATTCTGCAGGTGTGCCTCTTCGTCGACCCTCTCGGGGGACGAGGAGGGACTAGTGATCCTCTCCGCGGCGCTAAGAAACCTTTCGACCGCGACCAGCGCTCGCTCGCTGGGGGGCGAGCGCGCCGCCGCCTGCTTCGGGACAGCCAAGCGGCTGCTGTCTTACTGCTCCAACCAACCCCAAGTGCAGGTCAACTGCGCAGCGGCCATGGTGAACCTTGTCGACGCCACGCATGTGCAAGACCTCCAGGTGTGATCGTGTGCAGTTACAGGATGCCATCTTTCTTCGTAACGCCGCTTCTGACAAGGAGCACCAGATTCAAGATCACATCCTTGTGTGCGTTTTTCTGCAGGGTTTTCTGCCTACGTGTGTCGCTTGTTCTAACGATGAGAGACTGCCCCCCCAAGACACTTGATTTATTGCTTGTGAAAACCAACTCGAAATGGGAGTGACATGGGTGCGACAGTGGCCAATCTCCTCAGTGTCCTCAAATTCATCGATGTTTCTCACATACCAACGACAAGCGAAAACCAGACAAAGAAAATAACAACGTGCTGCCACGCATCATCACTGTCGGCGTGGCCTAGGCGATGACTGGATGCGGTGGGGTTACAGAATAGTTCTCCTTTTTACCCCCACGGTAATGATTTGCTAACCCCGCACACCCCCCTTCATCATGTGACATTGCTGCCGTACTTCTACACGCCTGCACGACATGGGTTTCACCACAATCCCATGGGTTCTGTAGACTCTCGATGTGGTCGGCCTCCTGGGGGAAAACTGCAGCTGGGAGGATCATGGTGACAACACGCCTTCCGCCACTATGGTGGGGGAGCTTGTGATCTACAGGTAATTGAGAACCGAAGCGGTCAATTCGATTTGTTCCCCCCTCCCTCTCCCCTCGGTGATTGCCATCGGGGTTGGGTTTTAGTCGCTTGGCAATGACGTTGTAACACAAGCCGATCACTTCGTGAGCTCGGCAACCAGGTTACTGCTATTTGTTTCTTTCCTCTGGTTTTCATTTTTGCGGTAACCATGATGGTGGCCGAGTAGATCACGTTGTGCGGGGTCGAAAACCCTCACTCCGTGCAGAGGGGAGGATCGCACCACGTTGTGTCAAAATAATGATGGTCGATTCAAGCACCCTGGAGGCGGTTACAGAGTGCTTGCAATTGACTCTAGAAGTGAAGCCACCAGAAATAAATTATGTCATACATTCGCAGCTGCCACCCGTAAGGAAGTAAGCACAAGATGCCGAACACCCTTAGCAGGATGCAGCCCACCCTCCATGCGACTCGCCGAATACCTGACAGCGCTTCGCGCTTGGTGATGTGAGAGCGTGATCCGGTGAGAACCCGGCGTTCTCCGTCCCGGCTTTGTTGGGATGCGAGGTCAATGGTCTAACGACTACGGCATGCACGACTATGAGTACCCCCCCCCCTTCCTCCTTGTATCAACCCGTTCTGAAAGTGTTCCCGTTTCATCTTCGCTAAACTCGCAACAGTCTCTCTCTCTCTCTCTCTGTCACTCTCTCTCTCTCTCTCTCTCTCTCTGTCTCTCTCTCAGTTTTCTGCCCTAAAGCTCACCAACCCTGAGTTGGGAGTCACACAGATTTAGGGAGCAGCACCACGGCGTCGAAGCGCGATCTGGATCTAATGATTGAGAGCAGCTTTCACCCCGAAAACCGATTGTTGGGGTCGTTCGCCGCTCGCGTATACACTTTCGGAAGAATGCCTGAACTGTTTTAGTCGCCATTCTCGCATATTATGCCAGCGTCTTGCCCGTGACGGCTTGCTTCGAATCCACCCACACCTCAATTATCTCGGCTCCACTCTTGGTGAGTTTGTGTTCGGCTTGCGTTACCGGGTTCTTCTCTTGCTTTAGCCCTCTCCGACTTTCGGTCCGTGCCTCCAAGAAATTCCGTGCTGTCACCCGCCTATTGTCGAACCCCCACAGACGAACCCTCATGGTCGTTTCGCAATCTGCCACGCTTGATTGACCCGAGCAGCTTGTCGAAGCTGTGTACACGGGACTTCTTGCCCAAGGGAGACCGCGTGATCGCGACCATCACGACCATGATGGACTTTGACCCGCAGGTACGTACGCAAGCCTAGAACAATTTGTGTGGACTTTGACCCACCCCGCCGCAGAGAAGCCTGCTCCGAACCGCCGAATGTAGGAACGCGAACAGCGGAGAAGGGAGTAGGATAAAAGCATTGGACAATCCCGAGCGTCGCGAACCACTACAACATAGCGTCGGATTGTGGTGCACTACAGAAGCAGCAGTTCAAACATGGACCTGACCCTCGTCGAAACGGTCCCCTCCCGCCCTTACATGAATTCATTGTTTGTCGGCTTCCCCCCCTCCCCCCCCAAATGAAAAGACAATAAAGCGATTGGATGATTCGGTACGGTCGCTGGTGAACCCACCGTTACCTCCTCGCGGACCTTGGCATTTCCTCCACCCGAATGATGCCCTCGGCCTGACAGCATTGCCAGTGCTGACCAAAGGCGCCCACAAGAAAAGGTGAGTACTGCTTGAAACTAAGGCAGGTACTAGGAAGAGGGTAAGGTGAATGGGCTGAAGGTGGTGATTCTTGGCTCTCACAGAGATTACCAGCAGAGAGGTTCACTTCAGAGACAAGGCGGGACCTAGCGGTTCGAAGTAGGGGTATTCTCAGAAACTGCACCGAAATGGGAGGACGGAGTGCCACCAACCAACTGCCAACCTGCTCACCTAATATTATGGTGAAACTTGAACCTTTTGTGCATAGCACGCTGAGTGCTAGCCAGCGTGGTCGTTCATCGTAAGGTACCAACAGGGCTACGGCGCGGGTGGGGTGAATGGAAGTGGTAAGTGGCGGTAGCGTGGTGGATATAAATGGCGGGGTGGGGGACATGAGAGGACAAAAGAAACTCCTCTACCGGCGGCCTCGAAGCACCCTTTCGCCTGCCATCGCTGCTTCTCCATAAAATGTCCTTCGAAGTACGTATCATCTCTTCCTCTTCAGTTCCCCTGCATGTACTTCCTGGAACATCTCACAATGACCAGAGACACAGTCAGCAGCACCCCCACAACATGTAGTTTGTCTTGGCTGAGGATGGATCATATGATGAACTAAACAAGAGCTTACAAGTACGCACCTTGGGGTTCCTTGCGCCCTAAAGACTTCGCTTTATGCATGCCCGCGTAGCATTGCCACACACGCACTCACTCTAGCCCTAACCCCAACGACCCACAGCGCCCGACATCTATCCATTACGGCGAGAGAAGGGCAGCAACGATGGTCCGGAGACGTGGTTTCATCTGCCACTGGAGGGGGAGACGGAGCAGGGGCGGGGGCGGGGGGGGGCGGGGGAGCAGAGGTATCGATGCTTTTTGGGGGCGACGTGCGGTGGGAACTTCAACTAGCCGCTCGCGAGAAGGAAGATTCTACACCAATATCGTAAGGGAGACAGCTGGCCATCCATCCCGTCATGTTTCACATGGCAAGCTTGTGGCCATCAAGCAGTGATTGTGTGGTGCCCAACCCCTCATGTTACTGCTGCGCTAGCCTCGCTTTAGCCGTTTGCGATCAGCTATGTGCTTGATTTGGCCCCATGCGTAACGGTGTTTTATCATCTGTTCTGGCTTGGTTTGGGCTGTGTTTTCTTCACCTCTGTCACAAGGTAGAGATACAAGCGGATTTGTTTGTCGTGCAGGGCGTAAAGACCGAATACTAGTGAGGTACATCGGCGTGGTCGGAACCGTAAGGTGGTAAAGACGCTTGTTTTACCAACCTAACATGCTAATAAATGCACCTTTATGTGGCATGAACGACCGTTGAACCTCCCCGCCCCCTGTCCCCCCCGTCCTACACAGCCTGTTGAATAGCGGTGAAGTGGTGGACCAAGGGCAGCTATCAGTGCAGAGATCCCCCGAAAACGCGCATGACGCTATGAATGGACAGCATCAGGGCCTGCAGCTCGGCGACACGAGTGCCACGATGATATCAACGTCGGGCGGCGGCGAGGTTGGAGGAGAAGAGACCACGGATAACGGCAACAACACGAGTAGCGCCGGGAACAAGGCCACCGGCGGCGGGGGCGGTGGCGGCCTCGAGAGAGAAGCAATGGCTTCCCTGCCGGCAGCTGACCTTTCGAACGTCAGCAGCAAGTCGGCTAATGAGAGTGCCGCTGCGGGTGTTGCTCCCAAGGGTGCAGGAGGGGATGGGAACAATCGGAAAGGCCGAGGCGATGACCGCACGCTCAAGCACACCGCGGCGAGGCTAGCGACGGTGATATCGGAGACGTCCATGGTGCGAACATTGACGGTTCCAAAGCGTAGATGTGTTCGGTGCCCTACGCTGGAAACCGTTGCCTACGTTCAAGCATGGGGAAGAGAGGCTCCACTTTTCAGAGAAGCATGATGTATATTGTGTTGTATAGGATCACCCTTTCCTCTTGTTATTCTCTCTGTCTCTCTTGGGAGCTTACCGTTACTGTAGCTTCACCAAATCAACACCAGACATTCATTCCAGCCTTGACCGGGTGCAGGCGGAAGACTTGATCTCTGTTAGCGGCTAGACTGGGAATGATTCGGTTCTCGGCGAGGTATATGTTTTTGCCGTATCTAACGTAGTAGATAAAACGCTCGTTCGTGAGCACGCTTGAGAGAAGGACGACTAAAGTTTTTGCTACCAGATGAATGCATGCGCCACAAAGGAACTAGTCCGTGTGAGCCCGGGTCGGAGCGATCCAGTGAAAGAGCCAAGAACCGTAGAGGTAGGTAGCAACTGGCACAACGAATAAGAGTACGCGGTGACCCGTCCACCAATGCTGCAGCGTTCGCGAAGGTTCCTTTTGCACGTTGTATTTCGTCCTCCTCTACCGGTGTTATTGCCCTCGGGTGGAAGTACCAGGACTGCCCTCATTGGCGACAGGCCTGTACTGACAACCCAGGCTATGTCTTACCCTCTTCCATGCCAAAAAAGTTCGTTCATATTCCGAACGTGTTGCCGGCCTATGCATACGCTCTGTTCAAATCACGTTCATTGCAACTTGTTCAGTTCGTTACCAACCACTAATTTGCGCTTTCCTGATGAGATTTGTTTGAAGCAGAGGATGATTTTACCACCCCCTATGCTACCAAACCATCAACCGCCCGCGGCACGAGTTCAATAGCTCAACGACCCCGCCCCAAACATCCAAGAACAAACCTTTGGTCGGGCTCATTGGTGCTCTCTTTCGCCCCCCCCCCTCCCGCGTTTCAATAGGCCGCGAGAGCCTTTAGCTCGAAGCCAAGCAAGGCAGCCAAATTGGAGACGCGCATCCTACGAAATCCGGTACTTTCCACAGAAGAACCTCCATTTGAGCTACCGTGGCTGCTCAAACACGGCAAGGTATGCGCACGTGTATTTAAATGTATCAAAAATACTATGGGACGTTGGATTAGACGGAAGAGGTTGAGCAAGTTCGCCCTCCTTTCATTCTCCAAGTGCACAGCGAGGCCACCGCTATGTGTCTCCACCGCACACAGAAGACGTGAAGCGTCGGAATACGCACGAGTCAACTTACACAGTCAGTGGACTAGACTAGAGCTTTCGTTCAGCAGACGATCCGCGTCCACATACATCCCACCAGTTTCTCCGAAGCAACATCAAGAGCGGTGATTGAAGTGAATGTAGTTGATGGGGCTTCGGTGAAACGGCAACTAATAGTGCTACTCGATTGGTGACGACGCAGCGCGCGGAGATGGGCTGAGAGGGGAGGGGGGGTAGAGCGAGCACGACGAGAAGGAGAGGCTGCCGGTGGCAATACCCTACAAACGTTGGCCTCTTTCCGGGAAGCGATTCCAAATGCTACGGACCGTTAAACAACTCCCATCCCCGCGATTTTTTTACAGAGTTGAAAATTGTAGCGAATGGGTGTGTTTCATGTAGAACGACTTGATCACGCGACTGACAACGATGTAATCGCTGTTGGGCGCCTTAACAACAGCGAAACCGCGCCGCCCCCTTTACTTCCCCTCTCTATCAACGCGTTGTAGGCCGAGCGCCTGAAGCTACTCGAGGAATCCCTGGGCGGAACCCCTTCTCGTTCTGCAACCCGACGGACAGACCCGTCCAGTACGAAGACGACGTCCTCCAAACACGCGGAAGGCAAGAGCAACAACGGTGGCGGAAAGGGCGGACAGCGGCAAGACGCCGACCCGCACACAACGGCCGGCGCCGAACAGCTGCAGCATCAACAACAAGGGGTCCGCGGGGACGGCGCAAGTGGAATAAAAGAAGTAACGGCAGCAGCGGAACGGGCCGTCTTGGACGAGGGAGGCGCTTTCGAAGTCTTGACCGTGCCTGACGACAAGTGGATCAGTCCGGACCTCCCACCCGAGGCCGGCAAGCAACAGCAAAAGGACAACTATCACGCGGCAGCAGGCCGTGGAGGAACTTTGGGCGGTGCCAGTGGCGGTGGGTTCAGTAGCGTCGGCATGTCTCGACCGCCGTACGCCAGCGGCAAACCCATCGGGTCCACCGTCGCGGGGACCCCGCAGCAGCTGGCCGGCTTGACGCACAAGATGCCGCAACGCCGAGCAGGTTGAACAAAGGTAGTGTAGGCCCGGAATTGTTTCGCAACAAAACCGTAAGTTGAAGATGAACCTTTAGTGTATAAATAGTGTTAGGTTACGAGCTGTTTCACGTGGAGTGGAGGTTAAGATGTCCCTTGATCAATCTTCCCGGTGGATAGCATGGAGCGAGCCAGTCGGCGGCGTTTTGGATGGGCGACGCAACATGCCAGCGCCGGCATACAGACTGACGATCCAACAGCTCACGAAACCATAACACACGACGTGTGGACTGACCGCCCCGGTCAATGGCGCTCATGGCGTTGAACGCGAACTGTTCGATCCGGTGGTCGTCTGCAATTGGTCGTGTGCTCTCAACACAAGATGATAAAGGTTTATACAATCCCAGCATGGCGAGAGCGCACGCATTCACTCGGGGGGCGAGACTAGGCTGCTTGACTCGACAAAAACAAAACGGGTCAACTGGAAAACCCCTTCTCAAAACGAATCACTCGGAAACAACCTTTTGGTCACGTGCACAGAGAGTAACTCAGTCCAGCAGCACACAACAGCGAACGGCAACCCCTCCACCAAATACTCGCGGAAGACTACCACACAAATTCGTGGAGGTCTGTCCCTCTTTGAAACCACCCTTCACCTCAGTTTTTCAGTCAAAACATTACCCAAAAATGTCAACACCGCTTGCTCTCCTTCCCCCTGCAAGAAGAAGTGCCCCCCCCCGAACATCTGCAAGCGGAATTCACCCGCCGTGAGGCTTGACCAGAGCTCCAAGTCGCTTCTCGGGGCCCCGCCGTCTTCCTCTCCGCCGAGGCAGATGATTGGGCACGTGATTGGCCGAGAGTCATCCCCCGGCCGAGGTTCGTACCTGTAGCCCTCGTAAGCGCTTGTTATCATTGCGAAGTTCACAGCAAAGGCAAGAGGATATGGGGAAGCATGAACAATCTGCCGGAAAGTCCTTGAGCTTCCATGAAATCGTTTCTGTGGCGGCTGATAAATTCCACCGCGCACGTGGTTGATGAGTGGTTTGGCGATTTTCTCGCCCAATGGCACTTGAGAATGCCTGTGGCAAACACGGAGACAAAAGGCTACGACAACCTGCATCAACCATTGCGACGGGGCAGGCAATGCGTTTACTATCTCCTGCGGATAAGAGGAAGCATTCGGATTGTTGTTCATGCGTGTGGTCGGCATAGTGTCAAGTCGTTGACTAAAATCTTCACCACGCGAGCGAAGCGTCCCGCCGTTGCTTTGCCAGACAACTCCCGTGTTCGGTGGCAATGAATGAACACATCTGACTGACGCTCGGAGCGGGATTGAGGAGGGAAACAGGCTCACTACCACACGACCCAAAACACAACAAAAAAACGAGTCGCATCCCAGAACAACGCAGACAGACGCGCCTCGCCTCATGAACACGGTTCTAGAAATGCGCCCATTTCACAAAACAAGAAAAAGGGACATCAGGGATACCGATACACCTTGCGGCGTCAGGCAACATAAGGTACACGCATCAACTGCTCTGTACGATGCGGTAGACGCGGCGGGCGGTGCGATCACACAACACGTCAGCAAGTGCACTTCATGTACCCTGTCGTGCCTCCAACACAATCGCTCTCATCGAGCTTTCATGGAACAAGCCCCCTTCCCCTCCCCTCCACGGTATCGACGTAGTGCATTTCCAGGGATAGGTGACCCCCGTTTTCGATATTGCAAGCGCTCATCAAATGGAGGGCATTGGCCCTGTCTCTCTCACGTGTAGTCCGCCCGAATCGGGGGAAGAAAGTAGTCCACAAGTTCCGTCTGGTCCCTCAACTCCTCGGGCATGCCTCCGAGGCCGATAAGGTGGTCTACCAATGCGTCGCGGGGAAGCTGGCTTATTGGGGGCGACCTCCCACCGCCGACGCACATCTGCGTGGCACGTACGCCGTGCGTGGATAGCGAAGCAGCGTTCGAAGGGATTGAACGTACACGCAAACTGGGCACGAAAGAAAAGCATCCGTTACGGAACCACTATGTTCGCAACTGATTGTCGATAACCAATAAAGTTGGCGGGCGGACGGACGCACGAAAGGGAGAACGCAACAGTTTTCGGCGAGTCTTGCGCGTGTGCTTAGCGTGATCATGCGAGGATTGTAGAATCAAGGCACAAGTACGAGCTATACGCAGCTTGCTCTGCCGAAAACCATAACATGATACATGGTTGAACGAATGCAAGGCGAAAACACATGACGACATGCGCCAGGGAGACCCCCCCTCCCCACCGGCGTGTAATCGCAGAAACAGCTCATTCTCCGCTGATCGACAAAATGTTGGCTAGCACAGAGCTTGGCTGATGCAGAGCGTTTACTCTTGAAACTTAAATTTTTGCAATCACAAGGGGTCACATATGCAAGCCCACATCTACATTTTGTACATGATGAGCTTTCTCTCAGGGACCCGTATGAATAGTCTACACAGCGTTTCGACGACTGTTCCACTTACATCTGGCGGACAGCACCCGGACACGACGAGGTACACCGGGATTTTCCCGGCGTCTTCCTTGAGCTTTCGGGCAAGCTCGAACATCACGAGAGACCCGAAGCTGTGCCCGAACAGGGCGAATGGCTTGTCGAGCAGCCCCATCGTCACGAGGGCCTTGGGGGGGGG